TGCTTTGCCTAATCCAAATCCTCTGACCGGACCTTGCGCCTCATCTGACATTTCCTTCACTATGTTCCTCACACTGTCCACTTATACCCAACTCCATCAACAATGATACAACAGACTTTAAAACAATTCCTCTACGTCCCACATCCACAAGACAAAACCTAACTTTCCATCCTCTCTGCTCTGCTTCTGCATCAACTGCATCACTTCCACATTTCCCACAATTGACACTGTACTGTTTGACATAAACCATTTAACGGTACAATTTTATTGAAAACTTTAGGGATATTCTGGAAATAATAGAAAAATTAAGTTGACTTTAAGCCCAGTTTTTTGGTTCAATCAACCACCTGACCTCAAAATGAAAACTATGTCAATAAGAGCGACTTTGTTGAGAGTTTAACTGTGTTGATATACATAGAGGTCAATGCTTAACAATAATGAAAATGTATTTTTGTCTTTATTTTCATCATTCATTGCATTACAACCTTGCTACATATCTTATCAATTCTTCTAAACATAGTTTAAATTCAGTGACTTCTGTCCTTTCAGCACACAGTTCAACACATTCATTACTAGAAACATGTGTTTAGTGTTTTGACAACTGAAAATACTCATTGATTTATAAACAATATAGTCTGTCATTTCTGTTCAATGCTGGCTCATTTCTAAACAAAAGCTGATAATGGCAAGTGGTTCAAAACCAGCGGCTGAAAGCACAGCTCGCTGAGCACAGGAAAAGAAAGAGTTCATTTCCCTTTTTCACAGATGTTCAGGGCCTGCATGAGCTACACAACAATGGCTGCAGTGGATTCACCCGAATTAATAGAAACCTACTGAGGAGCCAAAAATTGTTTGCAATAATAGTGAGATCAGTGAGACCATGTAAAATACAGAAAGTGAAGAGGCTTTGAACATTACACAGGAATTACTCAGTTGGAGGATCTGCTGGATGGTTTAATTGTAAAAAGAAAAAAGAAAAGAAAGTCACGAATGATCTTGAAAGTGAAACGGGGTGATGGCAGAGTTATGAAAAGAACAAATGAGTCAAATTTGTCAGGTTATTTCTTTGTGGTAACTTGCAAGAATAAGACTATTGCGCTGAGATAAAGATGCATTGCATAGCGCACCTGAATCACCTGAGAAAGTCACATGAGGAAAAAAGATCAAAACCATGACCTGGCCAATTAATGCCCTTGGAAAATTCCATTGGTGGAAAGAAGAGCGGGACGAACATAATGCCTCTGGCAAAGAGCATCTGGAAAAACATGCTTCTGAAGCCTGGTAGATCAGCTCATAAACAACTTATGTAACATGGGTGTGCTGAGGAGGACTGAGCATTCTGCACCACCGAAAACTGAAAAATACTGGCTAAGTAGGAATATCACCAATGCAGGATGGATTGATTTTGATTGCTCAGTGTTCCGTTGTGAGGTCTGATATATAATGCAGTGGTTTTAGATGAGATAACTAAAACACATGAGTTTTTTTTAGGTTGTCTGTTGGTGATAGAGCAGTTGTGGTCTTTTCATTGCCCCAACAACAGAGCTAGATTTTTTTTGTTTTTTGCCACAATTTCAGTTTTTGTAAAGTGTTTGGTTTTCTATAGTTAGGAGAAGTCAAACAAACAATGCATTTATTCGACAACCAAACAAAAATAACAAAATGAACAGCTGTACAGAGCCAGTTTTACCCAGGAAGTCCTTTAACATTTGAACAACATCTAAAAATATATCTTAAATGAACATTTCTTATGGCTCATAACTCTTACTTTCATTGTAAGTTAGTATTTTAATTATAAAACATATCTGCTATTGTAATATATTTGCAACACTTGAGGGTTTTTGCAGCAAAAAAAAAATCTTTTTGGTAGCTTTTGAAAATAATTATTTGTCCGTTTGACCAGAACTCCGAGTCTGAATGGGCCATGCTTTTAAGATGATACAAATTTGCTGGTGTGTTGTCTTTTCTTTTGGTTCTTTGTGTTCCTCTGCGTTTGTGTGTTCCAGATGTGTCGACTCTTTCCTATTCCTGATCAACCTAATCTTCGCTGCAGTACCTGCACCACTGTCCACATGAACACCTACGATATTTCTTAATTTGGGTTGTTTCCTGCCTTTCCCACCCCCCGCCGCATTTTCTACCCAGGCTTCTGCTATGTTCCTCAGGGCTCTTCCTCATCTCCAAGAACCTACTTGCCCACCACTCCCTGTTATTCTGAGCTCCGCTCCCTGCCTGCACAGGGGCTGGTGCTCTCACTCCCTGCAGTTTGCTCTGCTCAGCTGGACTCCCCACTCCATTTTTATGCTCACTCTCCCACACTGCATCCATCTCATAATACATTAGCTTTAGCAGACTACTTTTGAACATTTAGGATAGGTATTTTCTCTGGCTGTATAAGAGAACAGCTGTTTAAGAGTTATACGTTTATTGGATGAAGACCTACAGTAGCTTCTGACTTGCATATTATTTTTCCATGGCAGAATATCAGTAGATCTCTGTCCATTTGCACAAACATTGGCTGGTGGATAGCATCCATAGCTCATCCTTTAAATGCCATCATGCATCCATCCACTTTCTAAACCGGCTTAATCTAATTCAGGTTTGCCAGATGGATGGAGCCTATATCATCTGCCACTGAGGAAAAAAGGGCAGGTAACAAAAGAACATCATAAATGCTGATAATAAAATGTTAAACTAAGATCTTATCTTTCATCATCTTCATGCTGCCCAGGACCAGAGGTAGCAAAGCACCACCAAATCACCATGCCACTTCTAAAATGGCCATTTCAAATTATATTTTCATGTTCATGCTCAGTGACATGCAATAATAGTTGTTCTTCCCAAGCATTTCAACAATGTTTCCTCTTTTCAGCGCGTCCAAAAAACATTTCCCCACTTGTTCACCACTGTGCTCTTTCGAAAGCAATGCTGACTTTAACTTGTCTATTCCACTTTTGTGTGTGACACATTGATTTTCCATCCCCTTCACAAACATTTACTGTATCTCTGAGTTCACAAAGCTTGGTAGCTTGTGAAGAGAAATCTTAGAGCGTTCATTTGACCAGAACTGCATTTGTCCGGCTCAGAATTCCTGGTCTGAATGAGCCACGCGTTTGACATGATCCTAATTTTCTGCTTTTTGTCTCCTCCTGTGGTTTTTTGTGTTCCTCTTCAGGAACGTTTCCCTCTGAGCTCACAAAGCAGTTTTCAGCAGCGCTGAAAAAAAGATTAACGCAAAGCTCACTGCCTCTGAAGACAGAATAAAATTTGTCACAGCATCCTAGCCAAACGCTGAGAGCATACACACACAAAAGAGCCGTAAAACACTCACATTTAAAGTTTTACACCTACGACGACCTCAGCTGACACAACACATTTCACAGCATCCGATCCTCAATACTGTATCACTCCTCTAAGGACTGTAAATCTGTATGACAAAGTACCTCAATCTTATCTTTACACTATACTAGATATAAAGCCGCACCGACTGAAATAAACCCTAACACACACCTCAGCCTTCCCTAGTAAAAAGTAGAATTCCCACTATGTGACGCTCCATCTCAAATGCTCTATTTTGTGACTTGCGCCAAGATATGATTAAAAAATCCAAGTCCTTTGATGAGAAATTCTCTCTGTAGTTGTTTCTGTCACCAAAAAAGCAATGGTCAGCATATCTCATTCCTCTTATACAACTAAACTGGCCTTCATATCAATAATTAAGACGAACAATAAAATTACAGCAACTGTAAACTGCTTTTGGAAAAGCGTGCTCAATGTTATGTGGAGAAATAACTTCTTTACAATTGTATATCCAGTCAGATATTTGTAAATGGCAGCACATGAACAAGAACAGTTAGAATTCAAAGACATTGCAAATGATCTCCAGATCTCAGCATCACTAATGTAAAGTGGGCAGTATTTATTAGCTCTGAGGCAGAGTGAAATTTTTTAGCACCTGGTTTAATTGTTTCAAAGTGTGGATGCAGATTAAAGAAGTGGCATGCACACAGAAACAATGTTAAAAAGAAAGTCCTAAGTAAGGAATATCAGGCAATGTTTTCCCATCTCTTTTTAAAAAGAATTCCATTCCTACAATATTAGTGAATTTTTACATATAGCCTAATTACAATCTAACATGCAATTTTAAAAGAATTTGGAAATGTGGGTGCCATGTAGTGTAAATTAAAAAAAGGTGCATAAAAAGTTGGTCAGGATGTTTTTCTTTTAAGTTTGACTTTTGAAATAATTTATTTTGAACCATGTCAGGTCATTTTTCAATAAACAGCTTTGCCCTGGAAAGTTCTCCACATTGTTGCCCTTTCCAATGAAAGTAAAACATCTCAAATTCAGCAACTACCACCATTGTTTGTGGACATCTTCCTTGAAAGATGCAACCCGGTGACTAATATAAAATTAAGACATGTCTCTGTAATATTCTTTTTACTCCCTTTAATATTTTCTAAACGAAAATGTAGGAGACTGGTGCCCAGTGCAGGATGACGCACAGATAGACCAATGCACAAAGGTCTATAGCTCCGCTGCTTTGATTCTAGTTCCACGTTTCGCTGGACGAAACTGAGAGAGGGTTAAGTCAGGTGTCTTGCAACGAAGTGGACAGGTAGAAGGGACTCCTGGACAGGGATCTGACTTAGCGAGAGTAAACACAGGACGTCTAACGTCTCGTCCCCCAGTTGAGTAGTTGGATTGCTACAGAGCTTGGAGTGGCTGGGCGCATGCAGACCATCATGCTGAGCATTCTTTAGCCGGAGACTAATTTCCAGTCCGCCACTTGGGTCTGGGTAAACAGCACCGCCCCGAAGGTTGTTTGTTTTAAGTGTGGAGCGATCCATCGCACAGCGCCGGGCTCGATTGACACTGTCTGCTGATCTGCTACTGCGGATTGCTCAGAATAACAAGGCTGCTCGCTAATTCCCGTCTATCGGGGCTTTCGGCGAAACACCGAGAGAGTGTCGGGTCTAAAAAAACCCAACAGGGCAGGCAAGAACGCCGCGCCGTCCGCGGTCCGCACCCCAGAATGGCTTCAGGAGACCTTTACGAGGTAAGATAAAAGCACATCCTCGGAAAATGCCCCACAATATTGACGAATAATGGAATTAGGAAGTAAAGGGAAGGGCGTCACGTATGTAAAAAAAAAAAAAAAAAAGCGGTGTCCTGAGCCCTTTAACAGGCGAAACTAACCCCCTCGCGAGCTTCTCGAAGACAAGGTTGCTTCGTTTTGTGCTCGCAGTTGGGAGTCGCTTCGGATATAGTTTGGCACGATTGTTCGGGAGATGTAATTGAGGGAGCTGAACTCCTCGGTGTGTCGCCGAGTTGAAAGTCGTGGTAAAGTGACAGCGGCGGCGAATAGCTCCAGACGGAGTGATGGGGGCTCTGAAGGTGCGCATACACGCCGAAAGACCCCCCCACCACCCACCTCCACACACCCCCCCTCCCCCCTCAGCCTTTTAAACGCCGTTTGCGGATTTTTCGGCCCGGCTGTTAACGCGCCAGTTTATTTTTATCGAGCTAGTTGGAAGCAAGTCTGTGTGCGTCTGCCATTGGCTGGGACCTGAATTTAGCGAGCACGCGACTCCCACCCGGGTCGGGGTGTAAAAAGTTGCCGGAACGGGTGACAGGAAAAGGTCACGCCGGGCCCTCGTGGGCCACATCAGTGTCGAAGAACCGGTACCGGAAAAAAAAAAAAAAAGCCAGGAAGCCCCGGTTCCTACGTCAGCCCCACGGAACGAGGCGCCGAGTCGGAGCAGCTTTTTGGTTTTGTTTTGCCGTGTTGTCATGTTAAGTTTGGTTTCAGAGCGAAAGGAGTTGTTTCGGGCTTCGCGTCTCTCAAGAAACTTGGGGTTCCTCAACATGTTCGTGGAGATAACGTTATCTGCTCACAGCACTGACACAAAACCCACGAGTCAAACAGGGCAGTTGGAACATAATAGATTAAATAAGTAGGAGGGAGGTGGTCATAATTGCCCTTTTGTAATCACTTTCTATAGACGTAGACTCCCAAACTATATTTGTTTTTAATTACTGTTCTTCCCCCCCAACCCATTTAATAAACTAAATAACTATATAAAAAAGGCTTCAACTCACATCCTCCCCAAAGCCATGGGTTTTCTGTATTTCCACCTCTATTTACTTTATTAGGCTTTCATAATGATTCATATTCTCATTTCCTATATATTACATCATTAAGGAGGCCAGTGGCACATTGAGCTCATAATTTAGATATTGCTGTTGCTGTGGGGTTGAGGGAAAAGAGAAAAAAAAAATCCCTGAACAGTTCACCTGCCAGTCCATGTGTGAATTTGGTTTTGTGACATTGTAATGAGCAGCACCCCTATTCTTTTTCCTTTTTCAGCTGTGAATCTCAGACAGATTGCCTCTTGTTCCCAGCTCGTCTGGGACATTGGAAATGCACTTTTTGGTGTTTTTCATTAGTTCCAACTCAGCCCTACACTGTTCGACTTCTCTCGCCGTAACTTGGTTTTGTTTTTTTCAAAAGAAGCTTTTAGCAGGAAGATGGAACGGCCAGCCCGTGACATCGTTCGTATCCGACACGAGCACGCATGGCGGGGACCATTTATCTCCTGAACCTCACTGTTGGTTTACGGTGTTGGTCTGTGTATTTGGCATTTATAGCATTGATGATCACAGAGGTAATGAAACTGGACGTTCGTTGATGCTGGGGTTCACATGAAGGAGTCACTTATAGAGTAATTTCCATCCCTGGCCAATCAGCAACCAGCAGCCAGCAGTCCTTAGAGCCAGACTCTACTGGAAATGCAATAAATAAATAAATAAATGAATAAACAATTTGAGTTGAGCCAAGTCACAATGGGTTGCTACCCCCCCACCCTCCACCCTCCAAGATAATGCATGCTAGCAGTGTTATGGTAGAAACTATTTAAAATCTAGCATGCAGATCACATCACCAAGAAAATGGGGGAAAGAGCCTGAAATTATATTTGACGAAATGCTCTTGTGACGGATAGAGGCCCTTTGTCAATATTTGTAAATGATAGTCGTCTTACTATGCAGCAACAACCACTCAGCAAACTAGACTGCACTCAAAAACACCGGAAGATTAATTTGAGGCTCATTTAAATAAATAAAAAGTTTCGTCTCACTGACATGAATTAGATGATGCTCTTCCTCACGCAAAGATCTACATTTTGTTCATATAGTCTGTGGGGTATTAATTGTCTGATGACCTAAATTATTTGTCAATTAGTTTGCTTTATTCATTTATTTCTTCATAAGATATCATTAATAGCTTATCTTTACCTTAATAACCTTTTAAAACGTTTTACACCTCTTTAAAGTGCCAGCTGCCAATGAAGTCATCACACAGTACCTTTTGCTTTTGTGCACCACCTGACTCCTGCTTTCTGTTTGGTCTGCAACCCAAACTACCTTGAAAACTGCCTTCCAAATGGTTCTGCGTCCAGCGACAAGGACCAAGTGAAATTAATGTATTATACTTCCCAAATGATTTGTTTGATCTTGATCTGAGCGCACCATCCATCACAGAAGCATCGCTGCAACTGTCACATATTACCGAGAGGTAACACAAGAATGTAACGCACGCCATTCCACTGCTTTTTACTCAGCCACATAGGTGAGATTTGCAGAGTTCATGTGGAGCGTTTGTATACATTAGCCACGTTCTGTGTCAGTTGACTAAATATTTAGTTATAAAGGTTTGTGCTTAGTAGAAAACATTCAGAGAATATTTTTGCTTTGGTTGTGATGGATCACAACCTGATATTTGTTTGAGGTATAACAACCAGGGGCAGGGATTCCGTTAAATATGGCAGGACAGATGTGCTATGGCTCTATACTCCAGATCTGGAAAGATGTGCTGTGTTGTAAAAAAATGTTTAAAAAAAACAGAGAATGAACCAGAATAAAAATACCTCTGAATGATAAGTTACCATTGAGTATTTCACAGTTCATGGCTTATTAAAACCTGAGAGGCAAACCCAGCCTAATGCCAAGCCCCCCAAAAATGGAAGTGCTTTTAAGAAAATGTTATCATCTACAATTAATATAAATGAGGATTTCATTTTGAGATTGGTCTAAAATTCCCTTTTTGCCACTTTTTTTAATTGCAAAAGTGGCATCCCCTTTTTTCAATCTTGTTACTTCTGTGATGACAAGCAGGTGAAATGTTTTCCGTTTACTAATACTTGTGTATCTAGTAACTGATCTGACAAGCTGGAACATCGTATAAACACAACAGCTACCATTGCCTCCCAGGAGATGAGCCCCTAACTACCACAGCATGACTGGGAACGCAGAGCTGGATCCTGCTGGCTGTGTTTAGTAATCGTCTCCGATAACTACCACTCTGTGAGATAACTGGACCAGCTTATTGTTTTCGACTGATCCATGGTCCCATCAGTAGAACTGAGTATGAGCTGAACTAAATCAATCAGCCATTTTTTTTTGGTGGTGATATGATATCAGTTTCAAAATGTTTGATAAATATGTGTTTCTGCTAAAGTAATGTAAGCTGTGCCCACTAACATAGTCCTGACTATGGAATCAGGCCTTGTTTTTCAGTCTATGCTTTTCTGACAAATATGCATTTAGCATAAACATAAACATGTTATGCCATATGCAGTATTGGGTTTGCATTTTGGAGAACTGCCTCCTCTAACCTTTGAGTTATTATTGACATACAAATCAATAGGATATTCTCCTGTAGTTGTCAGTGAAAACTTGTTAGGTGGTAAATAGTCCTTTGCTGAGTGACAATTCACACAAATCTTTGTAAATATTGGAAATAAAGACACTTCACATCTGATCTCCTAATGATCTGAGAACAGAATTGAATATTGATGGACTTCAACATCCTGACATGCTCCTTAACATTTAGAAAAAGCTTAAAAACCACTGGGTTGTGCACTCTGATGGAGTAGCCAGTCAAAGCTGCCCACACAATCTTTGAAGACTTTTCCACTATCCTGCAATTGTTTCAAGGTCTCCAGTTTTTCGCCACGTTTTTGTTAAGTGCGGTTTCTTTTTGTCAGTGGGAAAGAGGTTTCAAGAGGCTCCTCAGGCACAATTGGAGCCAATTTATGCCAACAGAAGATTTGCTTCTTTCTTTTCTTTCAACCCAAGGTCTGACTCCTTAACTTATCCAAATACTGCCTTTTAACAAGTGGCTTTCACAATGCTATATGCTCCTTTTTTTCATGTGTCGGTCAGTGGATGTCGGCGAGAGTGTGAGAAAGCTTTCTAATGTGTTCTCTTTCTGGCTACAAACCATGGCTTTACATCTTATGTCACATCACCATATTGTGAATGCTGAATCCCTGATGAAAGCCACCCAACAATGAAGACATTTGATATCTGTCACGTCCCAAAAGAAGATAATAATTTTTTTAGCCTGCAGAAAGATTTCGTTTATCATCTTTGAAATAATTTTTGATAATTGTTGATTGCCTTGAGTTCTAGTGAGTATACTGTATTTATTTCAAAGAGTTGTTTTGCTGATTTACTTGACTTTACTTGCATAATTCCATTATTTAAAGATAGCATCTGTAGATGTTTTCAGTGGGACTCTTAGCTCATCTCTCTTTAGAAATATTTTTCCTAGTCAACGTGCACCTGTGTGACATGATCAAATGTAATGTCTCTTTTGGAAAATGTAGGTAAATGTACATTGAAGCATTGGAATTGGGTTTGCTGCCAGGAAAGGCGCACCATCTGACAACGTAGATTTGAAAGCATATTGAGGGCCACTCTCCTTTGAACTGTTACTTTGCTTCAACCCCTAGCTCTAATTGGTAGGTCATTTACAGACTCGTGCTGAAATTTGGGATAAGCCGTTGAGCATGTCAGTAATTTGAATCTGGGGTCCTGGAGCAGGGAAAAGCTTCAAACAAGTAGGGCGGCCCAAATGACCAGAATTTAGGAACACCGCATTGTGGTGTTATAAACATAGAGATTAGACGTGGATTAGATCCTGATGAAGCGCAGTGAAGTTGTTTGTCATGGGTGCTCACTGCTTGTTCCATGCCAAGGGCAAAGGAAATAGGC